CCTCTTCTTTATGGCAGCCCCTGAGATATTGGAACACTGCTATCATGTCCCCCCTCGTCCTTCTCTTCATTAAACTAGACATACCCAATTCCAGCAGCCGTTCCTTATATGCTTTAGCCTCCAGTCCCCTAATCATCTTTGTTGCTCTTCTCTGTACTCTTTCTAAAGTCTCAACATCTTTTTTACATCGCGGTGACCAGATGTCACTAAAATAATATGGTTTGTTACTTCGCTGCAATCTTGACTAAAAGATGCTAGAAAATCTACACATCATTGAATATCCATTGCTAGAAAGAAGGATGGAGTTCTTATATTCATGTCCTGCTCTGGAGCTGCCCAAAGGACTTTGCTTGGTTTCTGTGAGAAGAGAATGCTTAACTACATTATCCGTACCCAGCAAGGCTTCTGTGAGCAACTAAACAAATTGTGGCGTTGGGTCATTAGCTTTGCCCACCAATGCTAAAAACGTAGATGGAAATACACTACAGTTAACTTGTCCAGTTGTGTATTGTGCCCAGTTGAGGATGGTACCAGCCTGCCTTTCTTGCAATCTCTACAGTTAACATTTAATTCAAGGAACAAGTATCTAAAAACTTTGTTTAGTAGCACTTACAAGAAGGAAGATAATGGTTGCAACATGAGAATTTCAGTTAATACTTTATTTCTGAATGAGATACCAATGTACAATATATGCAATTTAGGGTGGCTAAATCTTTCACCTCTTCCTACTTTTTTATGTACAGGACTGGAAGCTTGCCTCTTTATGAATGAGAAGCTGTCTGCTTCTATTTACTGTTTCAATAGATATAATTCCCAATAGTATGAGAAATAACTCTCACATGTGGTTGCTGGTTGGCTTATTTATTCATTGGCAATACAACATTCATAGGCCACCCAGTCCATATGGACTCTTAAAACTCAGTTGCATCTTTGGGGTCACATTCAGAACCAGGAAAGCTCTTTATTCTCCCTGCTCCTCAGATGAATATTTTCAGGTTCCCATTGAAAGAGTTTTAAACATGGCACAAATTCACACATGGAATCACTTGTATGACACAAACTAGGAGCGATTATGGCAAGGAATTGTTTAACACATAAGATGTTTTAAGAATGGCATTATCGTGTGTCTTATTATAGTTCTGCATTAAGAGTTCCCTCTCTGAATGAGCTAAGTTTAGCTTGGGTGACGTATGTGTTGACTCAGTCTGATTTGACAGTCAGAAGACTAAGCAGTCACTGTGTGCATCTGTTTGTCAGAACTGCCAAAGCCAGTGAATCTTTGGATAGTTTCCATCTCCAAGATATCTAGACATTACAAGCTGTCCCCACAAAACCACACTAAGCAAAATAACAGGCTTTTCAAATAAATTGACAATGGGCATTAAGGAAGGAAACAAAACCTTTCCTAACTACTTCTGAAGAATGTTTTATGCCACTGTAGGCTGAAAATGTCAGTATGCTGAATCATGTATACGCAGTTAGCTTATAGTGCAGACTCTTTAGAGAACCACTTGAAGGCATAAGATAGTTAAATTACTCAATCCAGTCTCAGGCTACATATGGGCCACAAGTCTCTCTATCAACTTGAAAAAAGTCTAATGTAACTGAAAGTGGAAGCTACTAAGTACATAAGAAACAATTATAAACTGCGTTCAATCAATCTGAACTAAATTCAATTTTAGGTATTATCCCAGCTTTCCCCACATTTTGTAGTGTGGCTCTATGGCTACAAAATGAGGCATATTTTGATCTAAAAGCCTGCTATGCTAGGGCTACCAAAAGTCATAAATGTATAATATGCAGAAATTACTTATTTTTATGGCTGAGCCATAAACCTCTGCATGGAAAGAGACAGGAATTATAAATTAAGACTAATTAATCATTCAGCTAACCAGGAATCAGGATTCAGAACAAGACCAACCATGTAAAACACAAAAGAGCTCCCAACTCACAAATAGTTGAAAAGGAAAGTTTTTACCCTCATTTTTACCTAGCCACAGTAGGTGGAATCTCTCCAGATTTAGGTTTCTTCCTTTAAAACCTACAGTTCTGTGGGTCACCTCATGGGACTGCAATCAACTATTTCACTCAAGCTGTTTCACAGAATGTTAAGAATTTTAATTACAGTACTGTATATGATATGGCTCTCATATCATAGACAGAAAGAAAGAAAACTAGTCATGATTATATTGTATTTTAAGACCTGTATGTATAATACACATGTTATCTTACACTGATGCTTAGATAAATATTTAGTCTTCTTTGATATGGGCTTATGTCTAAGTAGAACTCCAAATATGCTAGAACTAGAATATTTATTATGTATTGGCTTGTTTGTATGGCCTGCTTTTACAAAAACCAGGCAATGAATAGATATGACATCAACACAGAAAATAGTGGAGTGCTGAAGATGACACATTGACATAGCTAAAAGGGCTGGTTAGTTATGTACATAGAATCTATGTTTACAAATCCCACTGAACCATGAATTAGTCAACCACATTTTGGCCTAATATGTTGGGCAATCCTGACTTCTAGGTTTAGCTTCATTCATTCACTGGGAACCCAGAAAACTGAAATGAGTAGACCATAATAGTTACAACTAGAAAACCATGTTGTGTGGTCATGACCAGAAAGAAGAAGTCTAAGGTGGAAGGGGATGGGGTTCAGAGAACATTAGGATAGGTTAGAGATGCATGAAAGATGGAACTCTAGTTTATAAGAGGAAAGAGTTTCTCTTGAGGTGAATGGGTATTATGAGATAGGTATGTTGAAATGTGAGTATGTGAATCTTACACATTTGGGGAAGAGCTATGGGCTGATCTTGAATGAAAGGAACTAAATCTAAGTTTTCGAGTTTATCCTGCGCCACTGCTTTTTGTTGCTGTTCTTTGTTCACTGTTCTTTGCTGAATTATTTGTTACATCTTTTCTCTCAGTTTGTTTGAAATGGGTTGGTATTGGAACAGAGCATTATGTAAATTACCTGGTCAGACAGTTAGACATGCATAGGTTAGATGTGCAAATTGTACTGGATGCAGTTATCTAGATTTCAAGTGCAGATTTTCCATTTCATCTGCTGTTTCAAGAAATGCCCTGAATTAAATCTGGAATTTCCTCTATATCAGAGGTCCCCAACCTCCCAGAAAACAGGCTGTGCCCTGTCTATGGGATGCAGGCAGCACACAAAACCACGCCCCCACTAGTCCGTGGAAAAACCTCTCCACACAGAACTAGTCCCTGGTCCCTCTGCTCTATATAATGCCTGTCAGGTGGCAGCACATAGCCAACCTGGACTAATTTCAAAAAGATAAAGTGGATTAGATCTGGTTAACATTTGGCCAAAATGCTTAGGAAATCTCAGAGGCTAAATTGGGAAACTGAAAAAAAAAAATAGGAAGAAAATGAAATGCAAGCCACTTCATATTGCTATCAAGAACAAGATTTCTGATTGTGTTAAACAGGACTCTTTACCTTTTCTTAGTATCTGACTATACCATCTCCCAAATGAGAGAATTATAACATTCTATTGCAGAATAATAAAAACAAGATCAAGATCAATCAGGCAAAAGCACTGTATTGAAAATCAAGGAACTATAAATAGTCTTGCTTGAAAATATATAGGAATTAATTCTATTCCAATTATGTAGATATATAACTGAAACAGAAATGGGTCATTTTGAAAAATGAAATGCTGATTTCTATTAGGCAAAGAATCTCTGCTGTTTAAAGTAACTACTTTTTTAAAAAAAAATCTGCAGGCCTTGCATTTCAGAGGACCTAAAAATAGGTTTTGCCATCTCTGATCATGCCACTCAAACTGAGATAAGTGAAGTAGGAGATCTGAAACAGTTTACAACAATGACAAGAAATTTACTAGAGGTAACTATAATGACCATCTTTCAGATACTCTCTTTTTATATTTATTGTGCTTTTTACCTTGCCTTGCTTTATTATAAGCCTTCCAGAGTCATTTTGAAGTTAGAGAAGACACAAATTGCATTGAATTGAATTGTTGCAGTCCATGTGATTAACTGCCCTTGTTTATATGAGGGCTAGTTCGCATATAAAATCTGTATAGAATTCATATGTCTATAGTGTCATCATTATACTTCAAGATCTTTTATTCACTGATATTTACATTTGCATTTCTGATCAGCTTTCTTATTATTTCTTTTTTATTTTCAACTACCCACAAAACATTGAGGCAGAAAGTGAAATCAAAGTAAAAAAAAAACCATCATGGTCAGTATCAACTTTTTGTAATCAGAACAGTTCCAAAAGAAATTATGAATTCATATAACAGTTCTCTTTTTTGCATTTTTAGTTTACATACTCACTCTGTGATGACTTTGCAATGTATAAAAATATTCTGAAAATGCAGTATGAGGAAAAAATACAGGAATATGCATCTAAACTCTGGCTAGAAATAAGTGACCGACTGGAAGACATTGAGAAACTTTATAAGCAGGTAGAAGTTAACCTCCTTCATTTCATTTTGCACCAGTGCATGATTGTCTATGTGCTGTTTATAAATAGCTGATAAAAGAATAAGTAGGTAATTAGGAAAAACCAATCAAATTAATATAAAAGTGAGTGCAAGTATTTAAGTTCTTCGGAACTTTTCTTCAAGTTGGAGGAAGAAGAGAAGGAGAAGATGATTGGATGGCTATTTAAAGCAGGAGATTTAGTCTTGTAAGTCAGTCCTAAAATTCGGGCAGCTTGTCTCACTATAGACTATACAGGTAGGGTTGCCAGGTGTCCACTATTTGAGTGGACAGTCCACTTTTTTCACATTATGTTCACTATTTTTTTTCACAAAATAGTGGACATTTTTTTTATTCAAAAGCTTTATGATGAAATGGTACGTAATCTAAAGCTGTACAGTCTACTTTTTTTACTACTTCCCCCCCCCCGCTTGTCCGCTATTTTTTGGAAGCAGACCTGGCAACCCTATATACAGGTAGTCCTCAACTTACAATCTTTTGTTTAAATGACTGTTTGAAGTTACAACAGCACTGAAAAAAGGTGGCTTATGAAAGTTTTTCACACAACCATTGCAGCATCCCCATGGTCACATGATCAGAATTGGGATGCTTGACAACTGGTTGATATTTATAATGGTTGCATTGTCCCGAGGTCAGGTGATCACCTTATGGGAACTTCTGACCAACAAAATCAATGGGGAAGCCAGATTCCCTAACAATAGTGTTACTACCTTAGCAATTGCAGTGATTCACTTAACAATTGTGGCAAGAAAAGTTGTAAAATGGGGCAAAAGTCACTTAACTATATCACTTAGCAACAGAAATTTTGGGCTCCGTTGTGATCGTAAGTTGAGGACTACCTATAAATTATTTCTTCTTCAGTTGTTCTTCCATGCCCAAACTTGACCACTAACTTGCTACACAGCAGAGAAGAAAGACAGATTAGCCCCTATTTTCCCCTGTTCCCTTCATACTGTATGTGGAAAAAGAATGTTTATGTTTCATGATTTTCCTTCCTTGATTATTTAGTACAGGATCTCATAATTCAGGCTTTCGAAGACTGGCAACCAGCAGTCTCAAAAATCAGATCCAGTAAATTCAGTAATGTCTTCCCTAATCAGGAGACATCCAGATATGCTAGATTAAAATTATTTGGTATGCACTCTTAAGGTTTTGCTAAGAACCCTGAAGCAGACAGCTCCAGACAAACTGATTTACGGCTCACACTGCAGAATAGCTCTGAATTTTAATATTTTTTAAAAATTAAAAAAATTTAAAAAATAATTTAAAAGAGAAATTTGATAAGAACTTTTTTCTACAGTGGGAATTATTTGTTTGGATAGTAACCTACTGTTCAGTTTGTTATTTTTATTAATTCAATAATTCATACAAATATGAATCTTTTCTTTTTTACAGAAAGAAATCAAAACACGATATAGCTACCAACAACAATTAAGTGATGCACTGGCTATTCTTAGAATGAACTATTCAGTGAGTTGCTACTATGTTTACTTGAGGCATCTAATACAATATATGTTTTTTGCTCTGATTTTTTATTAGAGTGGTTGAAAGTTTTTCTGAACAGTATGTTATGTTTCTCATTGTTACCTGGTTTTGCCACCTTTTTCCTTCTTTGCCTTTATTGTACTATTCTTTTATTGCTATTTTTTCTGTGTTTGTGAATCGGCCAGAGTCATTTGGAGTCAGGCCATGTAAAATTTAAACAAAAAAAAAGTAGAGAGATATAGCTTACTCCTGTTTACCAGATTAAATTTGGAATTTGAAGCAATTTTTTTACAATGTTTTAACTTTCTGATTAAGAACCTGAATTGATGAAATAACACACAAGTGAAACATTCTAAAAGTCTAATGGGCCAATGTGGGTACATGTGTAGTTCTCTTGTGTATATGCTGTGATTCTGCCCAATCATTATGTAAAACAATTTTTACATAAGAGTAACAGGATCACTGGAATACATTGGCTTCCTTAGTCCTATCTGAACTTTGCCACTCCATCTATTGAAATACACTCAAAGAGATTAGATATGCATGGTAATGACAGAAACCCTGAACGTTTTAAAGAAGATTGTATTAGTTTATGGAAGCTAATTCTGTCAGTGGCTACAAATACTGGTAGCTGTTCATTACATTCTGAATTGTAAGCTGTAACCTTTCCACACTGACTGCTAAAAGTGAAAGGTGCTATCATACTCTAATTTATATTTGACCGTTTCACTGACTCATCCAGCAGGCCACTGTGACCTTCAGTGCTTGACTACATGGATTTAAGGCCCAGTCCTATCCACCCCAAATTTAGCTGTTAAATTGATGATGATTTGGAGTTTAACTGTTGTAAGTTGGAAGTACAGCCACTGCATTTTTTCCCTTTTTATGTTAGTTATCCTCTAGGATAGCACTCATTATATTCTGTTCTATGAGCTGCATTGGCAATTGGTTTACTTCCAGGTGCAATTCAAGATGCTTGTTTTGACTTTTGAAGCCCTACATAACATGGAGTCAGGCTATATGAGGAAATATCATCTGCCTATCCCATCAGAGCCAGCAGGAGGGGTGTGTTGCACGTCCTGTTTGCTAAAGAGTTCTATCTGATGGGACCCAGACAGTGTGCTTTTTTCTGCTGTGGCTTCTGCCCTCTAGAACATCATGCCCCCTCAGGAACATCATGCCCCCTCAGGAACATCATGCCCCCTCAGGAGAGGGAGTTAGCACCATTTATCTTAGTCTTTTGGAAGGCCCTGAAAATGTGGTTTTTCCAGCAGCCGTGGGTTTCATGGGGAAGTCCACACGATGGTCATATTGGGCTTAGATGGATGTTCTCCTTCTGCATTATTGCTTTTATTTATATTTTATAGGGGTTTTTTTAACTGTTGAGATGTTCTTTTACATGGCCCAGAGTCATGGTCAGTGAGATGGGTACTAGATAAATTTATTAAATAAATATTTTTTTCCTGTTCTGCAGTGATTGCCACTGTTTCCTAATCTGAACCACCCCACTCCCCCAGGAAAATAATTTCTTCATGATGTTTTACCTTGTGGGTTAAAGTTTGGGAAGTTGGTGGGACATAAACTGCTGTATCATAAAACATCAGACCTCTCCCCATCTTCTTTGGCCACCTCATAATTAAAATAAACACAAAAACTCTTATTTTTTTTCTTTAGATCAGACCAAAAAGAATGGTAAAATACGTTCATAGCCCATATGCCTCCTGAAGCTGCTCCTGTTGTTGTATTCTCTAACTGGACAACTAACTACAGTAGGATCTCTCATTATTCCTCCTTTTGTTTTGACAGAAATATGTACAAGTTGATGAACAATGTAAAGTAGATTTGTCAGCTGCAAAAATAGATAAGTTAAGGAGAATCATTGATGAGCAAGCAGATAAAATTGAATATTTAACAGCGCTATTAGAGGAAGAGAAAGACATGAGAGAGGAAAAGGTATGTTGTTTTTCACAGCCATTAAAGTCATTAGGCCAGCTGTAAGATCTGCTTCATTGAAGCTCGTGGTCCAGCAGTTCAGATGCAATCCATCAAAGATAAATCTACCTTAAAATAAAATCTTTTTTTCCAATTTCGTTGGAGGAGTTTACACTGTCTGTCTCTCTCCCACACTAGGTCATTAAATTGAGCTCACCTTGGCTTAGCCTGGATCTTTTGTGTATCTTCAAATAACCATTAACTTAGCTATTTTGGAGGCACAGAATGAAATAAGGTCATGTGTGTCATTTTTTAATAAATAACTGGGAGCGCAAAGTAAATAGAGGTGACACCAAACTGCATGAAATAGCAAAAACCTTAAAAGACAGAGATAACATTAAAATAATCCTGAAAGTTAAAAAAAAATGAGTAGATAATAACAGATGAAATAGAAATCAATGTAAACTTTGTCATTTAAAAAAAAAAAAGCAATAAGACACTAGCCTTGATCTTAACTAAAAGGCCAAGAAGATTGTTCCCAAATTAATTTATACTCCAAGAGAAATTCCTGTTCAAATTCAAACATCTGGAAGATATTTTCAGAAAATAAAATCTTAGTTTAGAAATTTTGTATGGAAGGTTCTTCAATTCGGAGAATACCTTTTATAGAAAATACAATCACTGATTAATGAGGGAAGATTCTGTTTTCTGAAACAGGAAATTTGTCTTCAGGCTTATCTATTGTCAAGTATTAAATGCTGGAAGCCAATAACTGATGTTAATTTTCAGACATGGACAACTTTGGAATACACATAGATAGCACCTTTGGTTTAATAGACAGTATTGGGATCTAAATACAGTAGAACTCTAGCACAGTATCTCTGGAAACAATTATGTCAATTAGAAAGCTATGAAATGTAATATCTTTTTAAAAAGTGTTTCTTTTTCCCATGCCACATTGACATTATGGGAAAATCCAACATTAAAAATTGGAAAAAAAATGGCACTATGGAAAAATTTGATGAAACCTCGGATATTGACCTTGGATCAATTAATAGATGATAATAATACTCTGTGTTAAGAGACAATTATCATTTACCAGATGTAACCCAATGGCAATATTTACAGCTAGAAACCTCTGTTAATAACATTGTTTAGACTAGTGACATTTTCAGCTTCTCTGACATCCAAGATACAAAACTGCTAGTTAAATCTTTTAAAACTAAAAAACCTACTAGAAGTAATCCTTGAGTTACAACAGTTCGTTTAATGATTGTTCAAAGTTACAACCGCACTGAAAAAAGTGACTTATGCCTTTTTTTCACACTTATGACCGTTGTGGATCCCCAGGGTCACCTGATCAAAATTCAGACACTTGGCAACTGACTCATATTTATGACAATTGCAGTGTCTCAGGGTCATGTGATCACTTTTTACAATCTTCTGACAAGCAAAGTCAATGGGAAATTCAGATTCTCTTAACAACCATGTTACTAACTTAAGAACTGCAGTGCTTCACTTAACAGTTATGACAAGAAACATTGTAAAATGGAACAAAACTTCATTTTAACAAATGTTTCACTTAGCAAGAGAAATTTTGGGCTCAGTTGTGGTCATACATCAAGGACTAACTCTATTGGTTTCAATGAGTCAATTTGATACACGGATGTTAAGAGGTAACTGGAGCAAAGAATTAGAAGTTCCTCAGATTAGACATTACCTTCTATGCCTAGCGTGCCAATGGATCTTAGCCTACAAAATAGTATTGAGAATTGTAACTCTAAATTGTAACTTTTAACAGTTTATACAAAATCTAATAAAGCAAGTTTAAAACTAATTACAAGCATATAAAATATCAATGACCGCTTTAAAATAAGCAAACCATGGTCAGTGGCCAAAGCCATTGTGAAAGCTCCCCACCATTGCCAGACTCCAAAACTTGGCCAAAGAACATTGATTAAGGAATTGGGTATAGTGGCTTGAATGACCCTTTCTAACATTACTCAACTTATGATCACAGCTGAGCCCAGAATTTTGATGATAATGACATGGTCATTAAGCAAATCATGTGGTTGTTAATCATTGTAAACCTGAATCCAGATGTCCAGTGGACATTTTTTTGCCAGAAAATGGCAACAAACATTGCAAAATGGGATCATATTATTGTAGGATACTGCAACCAGTTGCGAATGCAAATCAACTACTAAGCACCCAAAATGAAATCACATGACTGCAGGGGTGATGCAGCAGTTGTAACAGGTCATAAGTTACTTTTTATTTAGTCTGTCATAACTTCAAATGCTCATTAAGCAACTAGCCACAAGTCAGGGACTACCTGTATAATTCTGTATGTTTGTGTGTTCATATTAACAAATTATGTTTGCTTCTTTAAACTAAATTAAATCAAGTTAAATGCTATATCCTTCTTGCTGGTCCTTGAATAATAAACCTGTACAATAGCCCCCTCTTGTGGTTTTAATTGTACTAACACACTCATATGCAGGTTTTTCCTTAGAAAGGGGAAATGAAAATATTACAAAAGACCACAGAAGCCTGTTGTTCTTCCTAACGAGATTTTTGTGCAAAACCTATTTTGATTTTGCAGTCCAATTTACCATCATCCATTGTAATTTCTGTATATATTTTTCTGAAGCAGAAAACATTGGGATAAAATCAGCAGTGTGGCATGTATGGTTTATAAAAATTATAAGAGAGTGAAAGGTGTAAGAGTTTGTATTCACTCTTTAGAGGCTGAAGGGCAACTTGGAGACTAGAGGCAATGATGGGAAACAATTCCAGCACTTTTCTCTCCTAAAGTTGAATGACTTTTAACTTGCTATATTCAAAATGGCAGACTACTGGCCTGAACTGGCCCAAATATTATCATCATATGCAAAGGTTTTAGGACCCAAATCTAGCTTTATCCATGTAGTGCATGTATGCCATTCCTGATGTTGTGATTTAGCAATATATAGGCAAATATGAACAGGATATCAGACAGAGCTCCCCTCTACATTCAGTTTCTACTTGTCTGAGAAAGGCCAAGCAGGATTTTAGAGTCCCAACTTTTAGAGTCCCAATTTGTTAGTACTTTTGAATCAGAAATCCTGATTTAGATAAAGTCTAGATTTAAAAGCCAATTTCAAAATACATTATGGAGTTTCACCAGAGAGTACAATGTGCTTATTCTGGCCCACCTGCAACCCACAAAAGTCACTTACTCTCTCTCTCTCTCTCTCTCTCTCTCTCTCCCTCCCTCCCTCCCTCCCTCCCTCCCTCTCTCCTCTCTCTGTCTCTGTCCATGTGTGTGTGTGTTTGTAAGTCAGAGAGAGAGAGAGAGATACTATAATGCCATCCAACTTAAATATTAGTTTATAGGATCGTTCTGGCATAAGATATGGAAGTTATAGCCCTTAGGTTGATGGTAAGAGGCCATAAATGTGCTGATTCTGCAAAGGAGCTTTGCAATCAAAAGTCACATTCCTTGAGTATAATTCACACATGTGAGATTTGCACTACAATATACAGAAAAGGTTGGACGTAGCTTTCAATCATTTCATTCTTTGATAAAGTGACTAAACTAGTAGGCTAGCGAAATGCTGTGGATGTAGTATACTTAGATTTCAGTAAGGCATTTGATAAAGTAGACCACAACCTACTCCTTGGTAAGCTAGAAAAAGCTGGAATAGACAATATTACCACCAGATGGATCTGTATTTGGCTGGCAAACCGTATTCAATGAGTAATCCTCAATGGCACTACATCCACATGGAGAGAAGTAAGCAGTGGTGTACCACAAGGTTCCATTTTAGGCCCTGTACTCTTCAACATCTTCATCAATGACTTAGATGAGGGAATTGAAAAGGAACTTCAATTGAAGGGAAATTTGCAGATAACACCAAACTGGCAAGAGTAGCCAACACCCTAGAAAACAAATTCAGGATCCAAAAAGATCTTGACAAACTTGAACAATGGTCCCTATCCAACAAAATGAGTTTCAATGTGGAGAAAGCAAAGTTTTACATTTAGGCAGGAAAAATCAAAGGTACAAGTACAGATTGGGTGAGACCTGGCTTAAAAACAGTAACTGTGAGAGAAACCTTAGAGTCCTAGTGGACGATCACTTAACCATGAGCCAGCAGTGTGTAGCAGCAGCCAAAAAAGCTAATACAATCCTGGGTTGTATAAACAGAAGCATAGAATCAAGATCACGCGAAGTATTAGTACCATTTTATAAAATCCTAGTAAGACCACACCTGGAATACTGCAGCAATTTTGGTCACCATATCACAAAAAAGATGTTGAGAGTTTGGGGGAAAAATCAGAGAAGAGCAACTAAGATGATCAGAGGCCTGGAGACTAAAACATACAAAGAACGGCTGCGGGACTTAGGTCTGGTTAGTCTAAAGAACAGAAGAAATAGGGGAGACATGATAGCAGTGTGCCAGTATCTGAGGGGCTGCCACAAAGAAGAGGGGCTCATGTTATTCTCCAAAGCACCAGAGGACAGGACAAGAAAGAACAGATGGAAACCGATCAAGGAGAGAAGCAACCTGGAATTAAGGAGAAACTTCCTGACAGTGAGGACAATTAACCAGTGGAACAGCTTGCCTTCAGAAATCATGGGCGCTCCATCACTGGAGATTTTTAAGAAGAAACTAGACAGTCACTTGTCTGAGATGGTACTATAGGTCCTCCTGCTTGAGCAGGGGGCTGGACTAGAAGACCTCCCTTCTATTCTATTGTACTCTATTCTATTCTAGACAGGACTTACATCTACATTTTATTTTAGAGCCACTAGTGGGAGCTAGCCAATAGGAAGTAGGGGATAGATCAATATTTAGGTCCACACTCAGGCATACGGACTTTGATTCAATGACTTTGAGCCAGTCATTTCCTTTCAGCCTAATATACTTCACAGGATTGTTATTGGAATAAAATGAAGAAAACTTACCATGTAAATTTACACTGAGTTCCTAAGGGAAGGAGTTGTGGTGATATAAAACAACAATTAGAGTTGG